TCGATATACATACTTACACTTTTTGCAGATTTAATTAAACTAAGAACGTTGACCTGAAAAACTATTTTTAGAATCATAGTATGGATTAATTTATAATCATTTAAATTTCTTTAGAGGATAAATACAAAATACAATTTTGAAAGTGTTTGTTCCCGCGATAAAAAAGAGCATGATTAAATGTAAATTAAGCGTGACTTAATTTGAAAAAGAAATGTGAGGGAGGTTGGATTTATATTCTGGTGTTGGTAATACCGAATCTAATTAAGAGAAGTAATGAAATAAACGAAAATCTGAAAAATATGAGGAAAAACGAACATTATTTGGATGAATGAAAAGAAAGATTTATCTCTACGAATTACTGCACTTCAAGTTACAAGAATAAGACTTTAATGTTGTGTTTTGACCGGACGATACGACCCGTTTTGAAACGTAATTGACTTCATGAGTTGTAGCTTCCTAACTGTTTTATCACCTAAGTTTGAGAACTTAACAAGAACAGATGAAGTGACTTCTGCGGATGAAATCACAACGCTTGAAACGGCTATGCGATTGTTTGGAAAATCTTTGTTTTGAATATAGCAACTAAACGTCTACTTAAACACCTCTATTCTATGCCTACAAATCGATGTCGACTGTCAAACCATTCTGTAGAAAAGCTTATGGTATAAATAAGATGGTTACTATATCAAGAAAGATTTTGTTATACATTTCTTATGTTGAGTCACTTGGCCTATCTTAATCTAGGTTTAATTCAATCCTTTATTTTCTCCGTAGTATGAGATAGAGTGCATATCATGTGACAATAATTCACGCATTACAGAGTTGTTTAGCTATTGATTTGTAATTTCATGTAGCTCAGAGCCCTTAAAGCTCTTTATGTAACAACGTAGTCGAATTTCATTACATGGTGATTTGGGAAAATGTGAAAGACGTTTTGGTACAATGAGTGGAAGAAGATGAAGCGCTACAAGTAAATACAAGAGTGTTGAGTTATCAGTTACTACAGTTAATGATAAATTACGATTGAAAAGAATAATAAGCTTCATAGTCTTGTTATGTAATAGTTGTTGCTAGCAAAGATCACAAAATGTTTGTTCCCAAGAGATGTAAGATTCTTGTCTTATTCTTTAACATTACAATCTGCAGGATTTCAGTTGAATGGATTGTACAACCCTGTTAAGCCAAGGCGCCACAACAGCGCCTTCCAACACTAATAAAAAGTTAGGTAACACATGTTGTTAGCAACATATTTACAGAAACTTCTGATGTATGTTTTAAAACTTAACTGCTTATTTTGCAATCGCAGAAACTAAAGGTCTCTTAGGTTTCTGAGCTTAAAAGTAAACTAACCAGCATTAACTAGAAAGCCATTATATGAGTCTTTGGCAAAATCTTCGTGACATATTATAGCTTTCAGTACGTCTTAGGAGTAATCAACCTCCATTATTCTTCCTAAAGCTTCTCTATTATATTTAAAGTTGTACTCTTTCCATGAGGGCTAAAGTAGTCAAGTGAAGTAGCGTCATGTATAAAGTGGTAAAGTTGCCATAACGATTCTAGCTTCGGAAGATTTTTTCCTTACTTGCAGAAATATAAAAGATGCGGCGAAAATGATCTTAATTTGCAGGCAGAAGAACATATCAATAACTAAGTGCCGCTTAAGTTGAAAAAGAAATGTGGGGGAGGTTGGATTTATATTCTGGTGTTGATAATACCGAATCTAATTAAGAGAAGTAATGAAATAAACGAAAATCTGAAAAATAGGAGGAAAAACGAACATTATTTGGATGAATGAAAAGAAAAATTTATCTCTACGAATTACTGAACTTCGAGTTACAATAATAAGACTTTAATGTTGTGTTTTGACCGGACGATACGACCCGTTTTGAAACGTAATTGACTTCATGAGTTGTAGCTTCCTAACTGTTTTATCACCTAAGTTTGAGAACTTAACAAGAACAGATGAAGTGACTTCTGCGGATGAAATCACAACGCTTGAAACGGCTATGCGATTGTTTGGAAAATCTTTGTTTTGAATATAGCAACTAAACGTCTACTTAAACACCTCTATTCTATGCCTACAAATCGATGTCGACTGTCAAACCATTCTGTAGAAAAGCTTATGGTATAAATAAGATGGTTACTATATCAAGAAAGATTTTGTTATACATTTCTTATGTTGAGTCACTTGGCCTATCTTAATCTAGGTTTAATTCAATCTTTTATTTTCTCCGCAGTATGAGATAGAGTGCATATCATGTGACAATAATTCACGCATTACAGAGTTGTTTGTNCGATTTTGTCATACATCTGCTATGTTGAGTCACTTGGACTATCTCAATCCAGGTGTACATAATTGAATCCTTTATTTGCCCCGCAGTATGAGATAGAGTGCATATCATGTCACAATAATTCACGTATTGCAGAGTTGCTTGTTAAGCTTTGTTATTGATTTGTGATTTCGTGTGGCTCAGACCCCTCAAAGCTCCCTATATAACAACGTAATCGAATTTGATAACACAAGTAAATACAAGACTATTGAGTTATTAGTTACTACAGTTAATGATAAATTACGATTATCTACTTCGTAAGAAGTTTACGTTGTAAATCAGATAAATTTCCGCCAAGTCCAACACCATCAGTTAATAAATAGGCAAATGGATTTAAGAGAGCACGAAACGACAGCAATACCGAAATATCAAAGAAATAACTCAGCCTCCAGCTAAAGAAAACAATAATAATCTTCATAGCATTGTTATGTAATAGTTGTTGCTAGCCAAGATCACAAAATGTTATGAGTTATAAATTAGCAAATTGGAAGATGACAAGTTAAGAAGACTACGAATTGTAAAATCTTGGCTTAGTCAGGAAAAATTCTCTGTTTTGAGTTCAGTTATAGCACTACAGCATGTATTACCCAGGTTCTGGTCAATATGATCAGAGATGGAGAACGAGGCTCGTTATGTTAGCGCAGAAAATCTGCTTTAAGTCATTGTGGAAATGTATAATTTCGTCTTATTAAGTCGAGGTCGACTACGGCCGTGGCTATATGATTAATATCGTATCATTCCAAACCCTTTTAACACATCGGATTACTTCGGCCATAAACAACCTCAGCTAAAGTTATAGTCAATTATAGTGTAACACACCAATACAATGATAGGCAACACATATTACAATGCTATGTTAATGGCAAAACATGCAGATTATGCAACTCTATTAAGCCAATGAACCTCACATCAATATTTAGTTAGGCAAACACATATTGCAATGTTGGGCTGCGTTAATGACAAAGAATGAATTGTACAACCCTACTAAGCTGAGTCGCTACAATAGGCAAAACACCAATAATTTAGGTAACACATATTGCTAGTAACATATTCACAGCAACTTCTGATATATTTTTTAAGATTTATCCTCTAATTTTGCAGTTGCAGAGACATAGTAGCATTACAATCCGTCGTCTCGAGTATCTTTAGGTTTCTGAGTTTGAAAGTAAACTAGCTAAAGACTTTCAGTACCTCTTGGGAGTACTCCTTCTTTATTTTTCCTAAAACTTTATTATTATATTTAAAGTTGTACTCCTTCTATGACGACTAAAGTAGTCAAGTGAAGCAGTTAGAATTCGTGTAATATACAAAGTGGTATTGTTATCATAACGATTCCAGCTTCGGAAGATTTTTTCATTAATTGCAGAAACAAAGATGTGGGCAAAAAGATCTAGATCTGCAAAAAGTAGAACATGTCACTGCTTCGATTACTAATCCAGAAGAAATATCAAGCAACATTCAATCTTTAAAATAAATCTTTGGAAAGATAAGCATTGGAAAAATATGGTTAGATATTGCATTTATTGCAGTAATCAAGTTATCTTTTTCTGTAAATGTACATCTTCCCCCTCATTACTCCTTTTTGAGCAATGAACTAACCAGAGTTTACACATTCTAGTATTTTGAAGGATTTTTATTGATGTTTAAAGTTCAACACCTTTCTTTGTGAAGCCGAAAATGTTATACTTAAAGTTATAATAATATCTCTAGCTATTTTCAGAGATATAACTTACTAAATATTTTCACCATTGGATCAAAACTGCGCCATCAAACGCACACGCAACCCCTTAAAATCTATAAAACACTTCATCCCCATGTTTACCCCTAACGAAATCTCGCGTTTCATAAAGGCCTCTTCCTCCGGATAGTCCCCAGTGGCGGGAGCCTCTTCTCCCCCGAGGGTGGTAACCGAACGATATGGACGACCCGGAGGGTTTTCGAAGGGGGGATGCGACGAGCTTTGCGGGAAAACTGGTTTAGGATGGGACGGCATCGAATAAACGGGGCTGCTGCGGACCAGCGCATCCACCATTGTTGGAACCTTCCCCCAATGCAGACGACTATTTTGCAAAATTTATTGCTCGCATCTGCCGCTGACTGCATTCGGTCATTTATAGGTCCTAAAAGCCTTTTTTATATGACAAACTGAGTTATTTCCGCTTTAAACATTGTGAAGAGTTCAATTTGTTTTTAATTAGAGGGATATAAATGAAAAACATTAAAGGTTTTGGTAATTTACTAATGAATAAAGATTTTTTTCATAAGCGAGGGGTAAAAATCTTTAAATGTAACTTATTGAATATTTTAAAGAGGCCTCTCAGGTGTTGGAAGCTGTAAATTTATTCTCCACCCCCTTTAAGTTATTATCAGACCGGAAGATTTTCCTAAAGTGCAAACCACCTCGAGTGTACAGAAGCCCTGATGAGGACTGCGTCATAAAGGGGATTACAGGGGAACAACCCCGCACCAAGTCCCGTTTCTTAAAGTGATTTCACCCCGTGGATAACTTTTCTTTGGGGTTGACAACCCCGCTTCGATTTTAATAAAACACTCACAAAGGAATTTTCAATCTGTATAAAACACGTCAATACTTTTAATTCGTGCTTTTTTAACTGACATATTTTAAATCGGCTAAGTTTGTTGCTTCTTTTTAATTTTATACTAACACAGGAGGAAAAAAAGGTAACAACTTGAATTTAATAATTACAGTAAAATCTCGATATAACGGACAAAATATTTTTATGTCATTATTAATATTATCTATTTAATACTATAGAATCCAACTCTGGTTATTTCCCAAGTTGCTCTATTTCATGTTCATAGATAAACTCGGGTATTCCCCCAAGTTGTCAATACGATGTATAAATCAAGTACATTAGTTCTAGTTTTAATTGTTATTATGATTGTTATATCAGCGTTAAATTGTTGTGTGTTTTTATTGAACAAAAAGAAGAACTAAAACTAGACCTAGAATTAGAAACATTCGGGTTTAGTTGCACGTCTTTTAAGATGGCTAATCCCTGCTGGCAGAAGACTTGCTACTATTGAAAAAATACTTGATATTGCTAATTCAAGAACAAATACTGTTGGCAAAAGAGTTGATACTGTTTATAGAAGATGAGACATTGTTAATTCAAGGCCAGATACTACTGGCAGAAGGCTTGGTACTATTTGTAGAATATTACAGATTGTTAATTCAAGGCCAAATACTGCTGGTAGAAAACTAGAGATTATTAATTCAAGACCATTCCTTCAGTTTTCAGACGCACGACTACACCCGAATGTTTCTAGTTCTAGGTCTAGTGTTAGTTCTAGTTTTTCACTAGCACTGTTACTATGTAGAACCAACACTATACCTAGAACTAGAATCATTCGGGTTTAGCCGCACGTCTCTAAAGACGGCTAAACCCGAATGATTTCTAGTTCTAGGTCTAGTGTTAGTTCTAGTTTTTCACTAGCACTGTTACTATGTAGAACCAACACTATACCTAGAACTAGAATCATTCGGGTTTAGCCGCACGTCTCTAAAGACGGCTAAACCCGAATGATTCTAGTTCTAGGTATAGTGTTAGTTTACGTTTTACTCTTGCACTGTCACTAGAACTAACATTAGACCTAGAACTAGAAACATTTGGGTTTAGCCGTACGTCTCTTAAGACGGCTAAACCCGAATGATTCTAGTTCTTGATCTAGCGCCGTATAACAATTAAAACTAGAACTAACACTAGACCTAGAACTAGAAACATTCGGGTTTAGCCGTGCGTCCTCAGACGCACGGCTAAACCCAAAGCTTTCTAGTTCTAGGTCTAGTGTTAGTTCTAGTTTTTCACTAGCACTGTTACTATGTAGAACCAACACTATACCTAGAACTAGAATCATTCGGGTTTAGCCGCACGTCTCTAAAGACGGGTAAACCCGAATGATTCTAGTTCTAGGTATAGTGTTAGTTCTAGTTTTACACTTGCACTGTCACTAGAACTAACATTAGACCTAGAACTAGAAACATTTGGGTTTAGCCGCACGTCTCTTAAGACGGCTAAACCCGAATGATTCTAGTTCTTGGTCTAGCGCTGTATAACAATTAAAACTAGAACTAACACTAGACCTAGAACTAGAAAGTTTCGGGTTTAAGCCGTGCGTCTTCAGACGCACGGCTAAACCCGAATGTTTGTAGTTCTAGGTCTAGTGTTAGTTCTAGTTTCGCACTAGCACTGTTACTATGTAGAACTAACACTATACTTCTTTAGAAACGTGCGGCTAAACCCAAATGATTCTAGTTCTTGGTATAGTTAGTTCTACATGTTATAGGTATAGTGTTAGTAGTTCTAGTTTTACACTAACACTGTTACTGTATAGAACTAACACTATACCTAGAACTAGAATCATTTGGGTTTAGCCGCATGTCTCTAAAGACGGCTAAACCCGAATGATTCTAGTTCTAGGTATAGTGTTAGTTCTACATAGTAACTCTTGCACTGTCACTAGAACTAACACTATACCTAGAACTAGAATCATTTGGGTTTAGCCGCACGTCTCTTAAGACGGCTAAACCCGAATGATTCTAGTTCTTGGTCTAGCGCTGCATAACAATTAAAACTTACAACTAACACTACACCCAGAACTGGAAAGTTGCGGGTTTAGCCGTGCGTCTTCAGACCTACCCTTCAGAACTAGAAACATCCGGGTTAGCTGTATGTCTCTTAAGACGGCTAATCCCGAAGAAGATCAGATACTGTTGGCAGATGTCTTGATACTATTTGTAGAAGATTACAGATTTTTAATTCAGGGTCAGATATTGCTGGCAGAAGACTAGATGGTGGTGGCAGAAAACTAGAGATTGTTAATTCAAGAGTAGATACTGTTGGCAGATAGTTTAATACTTTCTGCAAAAGACTAAACATTGTTAATTCAAGGCCACTTCTAGATCATCAGCCGTACGTCTTTCAAGACGGCTAAACCCAAATATTTCTAATTCTAGGTCTAGTGTTAGGTCTAGTTTTAGTTCAATAAAATTATACAACAACCTAACTGAATAACAACTAATACCAAAACTGTCTCTAGCATTATAACTAACACTAGACCTAAACTAGAAACATCGGAATCTTTTTATCGTCTAAACTCTAATGTTTTTAGTTCTACTTCCAGTGTTAATTCTAATGCTAGTATTACTTTTTATTTTAGTTGTTATTCATCGTTAGATTGTTGTATATTTTTCATTAAATTAAAACTAGAATTAAGAAAATTTTTCATATAACGAACTTTTGGCAATAACGGATATTCCCTTCCTCATATTAATCCGTTATATCGAAATTTTACTGTAATACAATAATAATAGCGTGACGTTCTGCAAAAAAAAAGCATGCGGGTTTATGTTTGGTGTTTAACGTTGATCACGCTTGCGTTGTAAACTCTTGATGGTGTTTTGCACGTGTTCTTCCGCTATACCGATTGTTTACTAACAGTTCAAAGTTTTCTTGGCAGCTGCGCAAAGAAAACCGTGTAGTCTGCGATACTTTAAAATTAGATTTTGATTATTTCGTTAACTATTTTGAAAATGACTCGAAAAAATGGGATTAAATCGACTTGAATGAGTGGTAGCGGTTTTCTTTGGTGTCACCTTGTTGATATACAAACAAGGGGTACTACTATCTATGGACGTCGACTTGTCCAACAAAGGAAATCCAATCAATACCGGCTGGTTAAAGAGTAATTCACGTTCATCTGGCCGCTATGTACCCGACAGACCGTGCAGACCGTTCGAAAATTACTCTACACCGCTCTCTCTTTTCAATCGAGTTTAAATTGACCGTTAGATGACTATCAGGTGCACCGTATTTACGTCTACTACCAAAATAGAACAAGAGGAAATGTTAATGTTTAATGAAATTTACTATATTACATTCAAGACATCATCACCAATATTTTCTTGCCTATTTACTCAAAAGTACTAATTAAAACATCAATTAGCTGCTGACGTAAACGTTTTTTTTTATTATCTAAAATTAGCACCCCCAACGTCAATAACCCTCGAAGTCGATCATCGCTCCGTCTTTACAAAAAAAGTATTTCCAAGCTCTCTCGAATTCAAGGGATTTCCTTTCAAACCACTCTCGTACGTTTCCAACAATGGAAGCGGCGGCGGCGGTACCTAGACGTTGCTACGGTAACGACGCCCGACGTCGCAAATCCCTTTTTCATTTTCCCTTTTTCATTCCGCCACCGACTGTATTTTTCAGAAACCAGACTTTTTTCCAATCGACATCGTCCCTAAACCGGATTAAAATTTCCCGCTTCGAACCAAATTCTTTTGTTGGCAACTGAATTTGGAACGCTTTAACTATTTTAGTAAATTTCAAAGAATGAATAGGTTTTCATAAAAAACATTTGATATTATGAGTTGGAATTAATTATTAGTGTGAGGTTGAAACCCAATCTGAAATCGAAGGGTGCAGCTTAAAATAGGGAGTTTATGAACTTTAAATTCGATATGGGATTTAATTGGAAAAGTTAGGTTATCACCTTTCCACGTTCTATACCAAACGTTCCTTGAATTTTTGAAATTCGGATGTAGAGTTCACTTAGTGATAATGATCTGACTAAATGCATCTCAACCTTACATACATCTTATTTCTGATACAATTTGAATCATGGAAGATGAGGTAAAATGATGGAAAATAATGTGGATTTTAATATCTCGAAAATGGAGTAAACCTTAATATGCAAGAAAAAAAAAGAGAAAATTAAGTAGATCTGAAAAAGATTAATCCACCAAGTCCAACTAATTGGAAACCCGCCTCCTTATATCTCACAAATTTTCAATATATCCTTTGACTTATCTTTTTCTCTCTCTTTAGCCATCAATTATCCATTCCTGGACGAACGCCTCTTTCATATATTTCCATGTTTCTTTATCCTCGACCACCTCAAGTCATATGGTTCTCGCAATTCTCTTTATGTCATCTATCCATCTTCTTGAGGACCTCCTCGTACTGCGATTTGTCATTCTTGGCTGCCAGCATTACACCTCGCTGTTGATATAGACTATTTCCGTATGGTATCTTTACTGAAGTTAATGAATGTGTAAATGATAGTCGTACTTTAACGATGAAAGATTTTATTTACAGTGATACAATAAACTCTACATACAGCCCGGAAAATGATAATAATTCAGTTCTCGAAATGTAATTCAATGAAATTTTTTAACAAAACATGTAAAAAGTTCATATTATTTCCATATTTTACATAAAAAGGACTAGAAAGTATCTAGTTCTAGTGTTAATGTTCTAGTTTTACACTAGCACTATCACTAGAACTAACAGAAGACCTAGAACTAGAATAATTCGGGTTTAGCCGTCTTGAGAGACGTGCGGCTAAATCCGAATGTTTCTAGTTCTAGGTCTAGTGTTAGTTCTAGTTTTACACTAGCACTATCACTAGAACTAACACAAGACCTAGAACTAGAATAATTCAGGTTTAGCCGTCTTGAGAGACGTCCGGCTAAATCCGAATTTTTGTAGTTCTAGATCTAGTTTAGTTCTAGTTTTGTACTATCACTAGAACTAACGCAAGACCTAGAACTAGAATAATTCGGGTTTAGCAGTCTTGAGAGACGTGCGGCTAAGCCCGAATGTTTCTAGTTCTAGTTCTAGTGTTAGTTCTAGTTTTACACTGTCACTAGAACT